CACGAAACACTGCAAAAACGCATGATCGCACGGGGCCCCCCAGTGCGCGTCGCCAATGATTTTCCTTGTTGTTTGATTTTTGCTTTTTGTTCTTTAACATGATCTTTGTATGCGAAGGCTTTGAAAGGGTAGTTTTTGGCTTCATCTATCTGTTTGCAAAACGACCCGAATTAGACGAGCAGTGGTCAAAGCGCTTCTTTCTGATGAATGGCATAAGCCATTTTTTCTAACGAAAAGTATTTCTGAAATTTATTTTCGTCTGAATTTTTCATTTGTTCCAAGATCGCTAAATTCGATTTTCAAGCGTCTAAGAAGTCTGAGCGTCTGAGCCCCGCACTTGCTCAAATTTGTGCTATAAGTTTTTCAGGGACTGAATCCAGTTCAAGAAGTTGCAAAAGGATAATGGCTGGGTTAGTTTAACATTCGTTTGTTGGTGCTCTGGATGTCCACTTAGGAAACGACTGGCTTCCCAGCACTCTAAGGAATGGAACGTTGGCGCTGCTTTACAATCCTCATCAAATAGATGCTACTGCTGAAATTCACTTAATCTAAAATTTCTTGGAAATGGCAATTCTGAGGATTTTTAGTATTTGGCAGTGGGTTTAAAACAACAGTATAGGTAATATTAGCTAAAACAATAGCAATAGTTATAATAAGAAAGGATGGGGTGTATCCCAAGAAACTGGTTTGTTGGAATGAGCCCCGTAACCAACGCTATCAGATATTTCGTTGGTTTTATTAGATACTCGTTTTTGTGCAATAATCATCCGAAAATCATTTTTTCGTTACTGAATTATAACAGCAAATTCGGACTCATCTTTTGGTGCCATACTCACAGACACAAAAGCATATTACGAATGCCGTTTAGACAATGTATTTGCTATCTAACTTTCATACGAATTTAGAACTCCAGTCCGGCTCTTAAATCGTGTAGAAGCTTTTAAAATTTCACGTGGTGCCCCTCGCAGTGAAGCAAAATAATGTCAAAAAATAAAAATTATGCATTTTGGTTAGACCGACTTTCTAAGTCTTACATTTTGTCATGAATATTTTGTGCACCACTCCGTGTCCTGATGAATATGAGCGGGAGACGGAAGAATTCGTATTCCTCAGGCTTTTTGCAACTTGTTTCAAGGTAGCCCTGAATAAATTAGATTGGAAATGACTGTTTGAAAATCAGCGCCGAATGGTGAACTAACTAACATTCCAACCGGCGAACAGTGTTTTTGGGAAGAGTGAGCTGCTACAACAGCTTAACGCACGAAAAAAGGAGCTAAGCCAAAAAATCAGCGCAGTGAAAACGAAGATGATGCAAAGTGCCGGTGTGTCCGCGTCAGAATGCAAATAGGAGGTAATGGCTTAGAAGTTGACAGCTACTAGAAATTAAATAAACGTCGCAATGTTTAGTCAATGAATGAGTGCTGAGGTGCTGCTGGCTGACGCAAATTTCACAGCGTTGTCGACGTCATCAAAGAAGTGAACGAAAATACCGTTCTCAGCTCTTCAACATAACTGAGCCAGCGCAGCTGGTGCCTTCATTAACTCCTCTAACTTCGGATCCCAATTAAAAATGATTGTCACAGTAATTTAGGTGCGGCAATTTGTAACTGTATTTAGTTAAGAAGGAACTATAGTTAGTGCAAAAAAAAGTCTGTGAATGATTTTGTTATGCATTTTTTTTTTATCATGCTAACTGGTAACCGGCAACGTCGTGAATTTCAAAGAATCAAATTGAAAGAGAGGCGGAGAAACTAAAGTGTTACAACTGCTTTGCAATTCAGAAATTTATCAGTCATGCGTACTTAAAAAACGAGTAATCCCTGATAGTTGCTGCACTGAAATTTTTGCAATAATCGGATCACAAAACCACAATTGCATCCGGTATTTGCGATACAGGAAAATCAAGCACTACAATTTACCCTACGGCGTTAATGCTTCGGCGAAATGCACAGCGAATGTTGAAAAAAACAATGGGAACAAGAAATAAATGATGGCGTCAATGATGAGCGCCTCGGATCCAATCCTGCATCGTTTTGCGACGTTATCGATAACCACAGGAAACCTGAATCCAGCTCTGTCTCCAAAAATGAAGGCGCTGTGAAATCAATTAAGGCGCGGTTCTGGAATGAAGAACATGCCGAAAAAGCCACTTCCGCAAACTGTCGGCGCGCAGACACCACTGGGAAATTGTCGCAGCACAACAATTAGAAAGAAAGAGCTTTTCTTTCCAGTATCTGGGATTTGTTTAACGGATGAAAGGATCACTGCAAAAAAGTGGCGGGGAAAAGCTAGTCTAGCAATTTTTCGCAAAAACGCCTTTTAAGACAAGTTGGCTTATTAATAATCTACAGTTTTAAGGCCCCAAATATAGCCACGTTGTAATTCTCGATGGTCCTCAATGCTGTCTAAACATTCCTTCCCTTATTTATCTTATACGTACTGCTGGACATGCTTGACCTGGCTCTGTCGGTCCATGAATAGAAGCAATAAAGATAAGTAAAGTACTGTCATATGCTGCCCTTATACACAAAAATTTCACGTGGAGAATCAAATAAATTACCTCAACAAAGGACAAGTCACAAAGCTCATAAGGGTTGAGACCAACACAAGTTGCCTACCACCCATAAACATTCTCCATTTTTCAGTGGCATTTCTTGAAAGAAAATATATGAGCATTTAATGCTTTTATGCGTTTTTGCACATTATGCACATGCAAGCACATATTGCTAAGAAGTTGTTTGCGTGTATGTGTGTGTGTGTAAGTGTGTGTGCGCGTGAGCAACGTTCCTTCTTCACCTGCAGCCCAGAATCGGAGAAGCTAAGAACCTGAAATTTTACGAGCATATTCTCGCGGCATGCGTCATCCTTACAACTTAAAACTATCACCCACGTAGGTCTGGACCTCACGCACCGAAGCAGAAAAAACATTCAAATTTTTAGCAGAAAAACGTTATTAAAAGGCCGGCAAGCCAGAAAGCAGAAATTTCACATAGATCTTCACTGTCCATGTGTGAGCTAAAGATTTCAAATTCAGTTTTCGCGTAACCTTACATTGTGTGTGCAGCCCCGTCATAGTTCGCAGTTAGCATCGAAGCTGCTCGAAAACGAGCCGAGAAAAATACTTGTAATTTCGCCTGAATATTTGTAGTCCATTTGAGAAATCGTGCACCAAAATCGAATTTCGATTTGCAGTTGGGCCAAGACTTCGGGCATGTCAAAGATATTTGTAGCGAAGTGACGATTTCTCTTACGGCCAAGTTACGGAGCTGAGACTTTGCAACGATATTCTGCATTTCTGTAGGGTCTAAATTCAGCTTGGAGGCTAAATTTGTTGCACACGGAAATGGTAGGAACTTAATTTTATACGTTCCCAAAAGTGAGTGCATTCTGCATATTTCGCGATCCTTTTCTCCAGACATTCTGTTCCCTGTTAGATTTGTATTTTTCAATGAACGATCGGTCACCGGAAGCTATTCATTTCTTTTCGTGTGAGATTCATAATCATGCCAAGCGGGAGGTTCAAGCGGCCCGCATGCAGCAGTACCATTCCCCCAATCGACAGCCTTTTCTCCTTGCATGCAAGATAAGACCAAAAAGCAGCCAACAAGAATCCACTTGTCAAACCGTAACTCAGGCACCATTCATGCTGTTAATAATTTGACTGTTGCAAATACAGAGCAAAAACACTTCATCACGCTGGCAAGCTGGTACGTTGCAGTCTAAATTATGCTTCATTGCGAATACGACGTGACCACGTATTTATTTATGTATGTGTGCATGTATGTATGTATGAACGGATGGATGGGAGGATGCATGGATGTACGTACGCGTATATATGTCTACGAATGGACATATGTGCAGGAATTCGACATTTTTGTGAGTATAACATAAGTGGCTTTCATTAAGTTACGAAACATCCTCTCAGCTTCTAAGACAGCATCGTCTAAGAGAGAGAGAGACTTTTTACCATGCTACCCGGTTCTACTGTGTGAGGTCATGCATTGAATGCCATTCTTGCCGAGGAAGAACGTTTAGCGGAGAACAAATGACCTATGAAACGGTAAATCTGTAAAATAATTATGATAAAGTAAGGCGGTTTCGATCTGGAACAAAGTGGTGGTCAACAAAAAGAACGGTGTGGCTGCTCTTGTGGCGAAAATGAAAGAAAATAGATGGACAAAGCTGCTTGCTGAATGGCACCTGCGCGGTTGGACTGTTAATAGAAATATGAAGTGGACTGTTAATAGAAATATGAAAAGCAATAAAAAAAACTGCAATAATAGCGATAATAATCAATATAACAATATAAAATAGAAATGCGGTAATGTTAGTATTAGACAATAATGAGGTAATAATCATCAAAGTAAAGGTGGTAATAATAACAATAATCATAATAACGATAATAACAATAGATGTAATCATTCGACATGGAACAGTGTGCTAAAAAAACGAAAATGCAAACGCTGAATATCTAGAATTAACGTTTAAACGGCTGGCAGGGATTGTTTCGATTCATTTAAGGTGTGAACATTCCTCTCCACAGCTAGAACTCGTCAGTAAGGCTTTGTGGTATTATGTATGAAAGTAAGTTAAAGAATATAATAAGGAGGAAGTTAAAGGATATAATAAGGAGGAAGTAAGCATGAATTTGCAATTTTTAAGCTGTGCCCACCCAGTGTAAAGAATTACTGAGTGATGCGGTCGGCGTGCTGGAATGATCCGTTTAAACATCTTTTTTTTTTAATTTTGTAGTTAAATGCCAACATACAGAACCAAGTTGCCAGCTGCGTTAATGACGAGAAAACGTGACAATGAAATAAGCTGATTAAATGTATATATGCTGGTTAGTATGTAAGCAATGCATTTTTTAATGTAATGTATGTGTGTACGTCATACGCACATGCGTATGTATGAGTCCCTCACAATGAATGAACAGCTGAATTATGACAGCAAAAGCTGGAGTAGCGAAGATATGGTCACAAACTATGTGCGGGTAAGAAATGTAAAACTACCTGAAATGCACTCATATTTCTGGAAATTGGCGTATTTGTCTCTCAGTGCTTGCTGCTACTAGTACTACTGCTAAATTAGAAATGAAACATGCACTCTACTATCAAGCGTCGATCAGCAAAAAATTAATAGCTTTTCTTGAAAGAGAAACAAACCTGCATGAAAATTTTTACAGGGATGATAAGAGGGCAGAAACTTAGCGGCGAAAGATGGAAGGAGGAAAAGGTGCAGGATCATTCTTCTTTTCAAAGGCTTTTGAAAATCAGTTTGTATAGAAGACATTTTTTATTAGAAACTGATAAGGCTTTTATTAGATTATATGACTTATCAACTGATCTTTTAAAAAGTCCTAAAAACACTGCGTCTTTATCTGAAAAAACCTAAGGCATGCTAATGGCGCTATTGAAAGTTAGCACAGCCCTTTCACTATATTTAATGGGAACTGTGCGAAATGATCCTAACATTTCCAGCAAATTCACTGGAACCACCAGAAGTTCATTTAGCAATGTGGAAATCTCATCACTACTTAACTTTAAATTCATTTTCACGATATGCTAAATCATCCCTTCAAGAGCCACTTGTGTGGCCATTTTTATGCGTTTTTGCAAATTTGGCAAATGCAAAGCTTATATTGACTGAGAAGAGGATGCCTGTGTATGTATTTGTATGATTATCTATGTGTGAGTGTATGTGTGCTCGCATTTTGCTATCTACTTTCAACTCAGCAACTAGAGAAGTTGGGAAGCTGAAACTTTTGGAGCACGTGCCTTTCCCCCTACCTTTGAGTAACCCTTCCGTTTTAAAAACACTGGCAGTATTTGAACGTCATGTTCGGACGCCGAAAGGATAAAGTATGGCAAGAAAACAATTTACTGAAATAGACAAAATAGAAAGCTTGGATTTCATTACGACGTTATCTTTTCTCGTGCGTGCTAAAGATTTCAAATTTAGTTTTAACACACAACTGCTCTACGTTTACGGACACATCAGAATTGAGATTAAGACATCATTAACAAAATGTCAATTCGGGAGCTAAGCTAATCAGAGCGGCTTTGACGTACGCTCATATTGCTTGTTTGAACATCCCAAAGATATTTTTATTTTAAGCCCATGTGCAGCCTAAATATTTCGAATTCAGCTTGGGAGCACATCTAGGTCTTGCGGTACGCTTTTGTAAATATTCCGTTCGTCAAACTGTTGGCACCCAACTACTCGGTAGCCAGATTTAGCAGGAAACAGTGCTTTTCTGAGGACGCTTGCTGCTCATGTAGGAACCAGCAAGCGTAAGATGACCTTCTACTTAGGCGTGAGTCCTGCCTGCAAGCGCATAAAATCCCAAGCAGCAACCACATCTTAGCATTACAGGTGTTTTTTCTGTACGAGGAATCATGCAAAAAAGCATAATCACGCCTTGGTGTGCGTGGGGGCTGAATTTGAAATCTTTGGATTAGACGCGGCCAAAAAGCATCCCTATAAAGTTTCAGCCTGTTAGCTCGCGTCGTTTCCGAAAACGCATTCTCGCCAAAAAGCAATCATGCATCAATAGTGACAGCCACGCATACTTGGGGGCTTGAATATGAAATCTTTAACTAGTACTTGAACAGACAAGCTTGATCCATCGCAGCCTGGCCTAAAAAATTTTCAGGGCATATCTTGTAGAGTCAGATGTAAACTGTAGGGCTAGTCAGATGAAAGCCAATCCGAATAATAAGGCCAGTTAGGTGTGAAAACCTATGAGATCCCAAAGCCTAGGAGTTCCAGATACTCATCATTATTGCTGTGCAATGCAACATGAGAGTCAAATGCACAGCACTGAAATCTCGTTATTATTACATATGGTAATCATCATCGCTGCTAATATATAACACTTATTATCTTCGAAGTAGCGTGTCCACTACATCCATCAAAAAAAGCAAGTAACTTTAATGGTACAAAATGGCACAAAACTGTCTTATTTCTATAAGCTAAGAAAAAGCGAAGAGTAGTGCTATAATCGCCGCTGCCACCATCATCAATTATCTCTATCTCTATCTGTATTAAATAAAAAAAGCTGCTAAGGAATGTTAATTTGAAATATCTGTGGGCGATAGGGGAGGGGATGGAGAACGGGAGAGAAAAAGGGAAATTGCTGACGCTGGTCACCGTGGTCAAGTGGACCCGGCGGAGAATGAAGGAGGCGGTATATTTTTGAGTATAAAAACACCCCTCGGCGTTCATTCAAAGCGCTTCCCAACTCCATCAGAAGTTCCATCCTCCAGTCTACTCGCTTTCGCCAACGGCGGTCCCCAGTCGTTACCGTTGCTTTTAAAACTCAGCTATTTTAAATTCTACTTGCTACGGCTATCTAATTAGCCTATGGACGAACGAACGATGGTGAGATTTCTTGACTTTCCCGAGCGAATGATGTGTGTAGTGCAAAGAATAAGCATTTGCTAGTACAGTGAAGTTGATAAAATTGCAACCGATGACCTGGATTTCTCGAGATAAAAATTTTCTAAAATGTGCATTGGCCGGACGAGTGGTAACATCCCAGTAGTAAAACTGTTATGAGACACGCATTATAATAGCTCGGTCGGCCTTTGCATTTTCACATTTAGTCTTGTAGTAAACTGTCTCTCAGTAAAGTTGATAATCACTGGTAAAGAATACTTTGAGTTAATGTACATAAAAGATTATTTTTTGCAAGGTTTTTGCAGAAAAAGGGAACTTAATACAGTCATTTTTAAATAAAAAGAATTTAGCACGTTTTATTTGCCGTTCTTTGTGTGCCGCTTAATGCGTACAGCAAATGAACAATTCAATTATGAGCAGTGGTTTCCATAACCTAGTACCTACACTTGTAGATCAGTTTTCTGAATGCTTGAAAAAAATGTGTATAACTGGCGCTGGCCTGTCAGCTTGATAATAATGATGAATTCTGTCTCCATACTCCGCCAATATTCTAGATGCATCGATTATTTTTCGAAGTTGTTGATAGAGAGGCATGAGCAAAGCACCAAGCTGTTTTGAGCTGGAGACGCGCCTGGCATGCTCGCGAGTAAGATTACTGGAAGTTTTTGGAAGAGCTCTTTTAGCACATATTTTGTTCCGTGGGGAGAGAAAAAATTTGAGAATAAATTTTGCTAATTCTAAATACTTTGTTCGCGTATCAGAATGGAAATGCATATATGTGTGATGACTACTCGATTGTATAGGCGCTCCTGCGCTTTAATTCCTGTGTACTGGCACAGACAGGCCGAATATTCACTTTGAACATTTTGTATTCAAGCCACCCAAAAGCTTCGAGGACCGATATTCAGTAACGTAAGCTATAGTTCTCGAGCGAAGATTCGTTTTGCAGCTGCTGTACGTTGACTGTAAATGCATTTACCAGAATAAGGAAAAAACAAATTTCTTTAAGCTGTTTACCATCTCAAAAGTCAAAGGCCAGACAAAGAGAAGCTCAGAATCAGATTTCAAATGCCTCATCTTGTAATTCAGTATTGTACATTCTTTCATCATAAGTCTGAGATTGACCAAACACAAAAGTTCAGGAAACTTCAAGAAACTTTGGGACTTATTCTTTTTGGTCTCACGCATTATAGGGATTTTGAGTTCAGAATTCTAACATGTGGGATCAGACTGCAGAGGTACACAATTTCTCGCTTATATACTTCCCAGGATACTAGGTTTCTTTTCGTTTGTGATAAATCACTGGAAAAATTTTAACGCGTTTTTCAAGTAAAAAAGTAATAAACATTTCTCGTGATAAATGTTTACTATTTTTCGTTGTGGGCGTTTAAGAATTTTGTTTTCATCTGGTCTTTAGAAAATTCTGTAATCATTTAAAAGGTGCATTCTGCGCGCCAGCGAAAGTAAGAGTTTTTTACCAAGAAATCTGAGCTGGGTTGCTGAAAATATGCGACATTTGCCACTGACCACAAACAATGTCATAGATTTTTACTGGGCGGACAATCTTCTTTTTTTGATTTATTAGATGGGCAGTTCTCTGCCGTTTCTTCTTTTTCAGTGTCTTCCGAACCAGTTTTGATAAATTGTGAGGTCTATCAGAAGCGCGTCGGGTCTACAAGATTTTGCTAAGAACACTTGACAAGACAATTATGCTTGCGTTTTTTATTAACAAAAAATATGAATTAAAGCTAATGATTTTGTCGTGTAACTGGCGCTTTGTCAAGAGAAGGCGCACACCGCATTTTTTGCTTGCCCGTTGAAAATGATTATTCATTTTTTAATCCATCTCGTTTTGTTAATTATGGCACATCTTACAGTTTGTCGGTTTCTTGGCACTTTTGTATCTCTTTTAAACCCTCATTTTTGTGAATTTTTGTACTTTTTAATTAAGCTTTGCATCTTATTTCTACTTTTTGCATTTTAACTTAACAATTTTGCGTTTTTTCTCACGTGTATGATTTTAACGACCTGACATTGCCATGAGAATGTGACCATTTTCTCCTCTTCTCTCTTAGCCTCAGAACCGTAGTGTCTGCAAAGTCCACCGCCAAGCATTAGATAAACCAAGGATTCTAAAGTTAATAAACAGAAATTATAACAAGGTGAATTCTATTTCAACATAATCGAACTCTGGCAGGTGACTCAATAACTTTTCCTTCATCCAGCTTTTTATTGATACAGTTTCATATTTCCAAATATATCATGGGGTACATTCGTAGCCCGATTTTGGTATTCTTGATAGACATATAATGACTGATGTCTTAGTCAAGTTGGAATGTAAGCGTTCATACAGGTGCCATTTGGTTGTTACCCGGAGATCGTTAAAATTCGTCAGTTTAGTACACTTGAAACAAACATTTGGCCTAAAAGTGAAAGTCCCTGAAATGAGTGGCATAGTTGATATTATTGCGACCACACGAAAGTAAATTATATCAAGCCTGTCCACTGTCCCCCTACAAGGAAACAAAAATCCTTCACTTTTTTAGACATAATTTCTCAGACATGATAATCTACAGCTAATGTTCCTACTTCTGAAAATTTAGCTCCTCTATTTTCAGAAACTCTTCCTTGTGCTAGCTCTGGCAGTGCCAGCGCAGGCATGTTTCGGCGGCGGTTGTTGCTCCTCACCGCCATGTGGTATGCAAATTCAGTGCTGCTGCCTTCAGCCACCTCCGCTCTGCTTACCCTCACTGTCATTGGGCGGTTGCTGCGGTGGTTGCTGTTGTCCTGGTGGAGGTGGCGGATACGGCGGTGGTGGCGGCGGGTATGTTTTTGTGGTTTTTGTCATTTATAGCCTAATATTTTTATTAAAAAACAAAAAAAAGCGAGCAAGGTTTCTCAAATTCAAATAGTTACTCCATTTTTTTGCTGCTCACTTTGCGAACATTTACGATACTTCTATCTTCGGTAAATCGTTTTTTTTAAATTTAGCTCCAAATTACAAATAGAAATGGTTTTTTTTTAATTCTCGCGAACTAACTAAAAAATACTATCTTTCAAAAAGAAATTTTCAGGTATGCTCTGCCTGGTGGTGGCGGCGGAGGGTACGTTTTTGAAAATTTTTCAAAGTGTTCTAAATGTGTGAACGCACGTACGAAAAATAAGAATATATATATATATGTATATAGACTCTGGTATAGCAGGATGCACCGATGCACGAGTTTTGCCGTCCCTTGTTATGGAAACCCGAAACCAGTTTTTTGCTACGTCTTTGTTTGGGTCATGCTCCATCTCATTTCCAAACTGAATCTTGGATCTGCTGCCGAGAGATACCTAGAGTAGTAATTTTGTGGGTTTTGTTTCCACACAAAAATTTGGTGTATGCGGAAAAATAAACTGCTTTCAATTGGAAACTGTGAGTTCCAAGTAAAACACTAAAATTTTACTGTGCCGTTCTGGTAATCTTAATCTATGGCATAATTGTTTTTGAAGAGTTAATCTCCGAAGGTCATAGATTTCAGCAGTAATAAGTAGTTTTTAAAGGTAATTGAGAGTTGAATGACCGTTTTGCTTGTCTGGAGCGTTCGGTACTTGTTGGCACATACCTCTCTCAGGGGCAACGCGTGATATTCTTGATCAGCCTATTAATCGCGATTTATTTTGCTATCTTCTTAACTTTTAGCAAAAAATACCTTTGCTATCATTTGGCTTTATTTTGATTGCTAGCATACTTTTTCTGCAGTCTGATGATAGCTCATTTCCTCAGAAGCTTTCTGAATTACTTTAACACTTTTTTTGCTGCACGTTTGTTTTTAGTATTTTGTTTTTTTTTTTTGTTCAAATTATTTCAAATATTTTTTGTACTGAAACGGTTTTCAACTTAATATTTAGCACAGTGAAGATCTGCTTGTTCTATTACATCCAAATGTTGTTGAACAGAAACAAAATGCCCGAATTAAAAGAGCTTTGTAAAATTTGTATATTTTTAGATACGGTTTGCCGGTTGGCGGCGGAGGAGGGTTAGTTATCCATTTTCCTAATCTGCTTTTGCACGTTCAAAAGCTCAAATAAGTATTCAAAAATTCATCATTTTGAGCTGAATAAAAGTTCTAAGATATGAGTAAAACTTTTCGCGAAGTTTGGAAATATGTCACGTATTATATTTTAAGAAAAAATTTAGAATATTGAATTTTTTTTTCGAATTTCAGATACGGTTTGCCAGGCGGTGGCGGTGGCTACGCTACTGGATAAGGCCTATTTTCGGTTTGGCCAGTGATTTTATCTGTAAATATTGCTCAAATTATTGAGGAATGTAATTTGTTCCAATTTTTACAGAATTTTTTTTTTTAATTTATTATTGTTGTCATACTTTAATTTGAAAATTCTAGGGCTGCTTGTTGTCAACACAAAAATTTGAAGTCGAAATTTTTACTAAGTGAATAAAATCAACAAAGAATTCTGACACCTTCCACCTTCAAATGTTTCGCGGAATGTTCGGTTTCAGTGTGATTTAATTATCAAATATCGGATATGCCTAAGAAGAGTTTGCTTCTGTTCACATATCTCCCGTAGTTTTTGTTAAAATCTCACGTGATTTGCGTTTTTTTGAAAATCCAGGAACTGCTGCTATAGAGATGGTACGAATGAATTCATGTTTCGGAAGAAAAAAGCAATTTAAATGAGAAACATTCTTTCTGATCTGGTCGACGATTTATTGTATTTGCGATCTTTACTTGTTGTGTTGAATGTAAGGTGATTTTAATCACTTAGTAAAGAATTTCGTCATCGTGAAATTCCTGTGAAAAGCCTATAAAAATCTGAAAGGCTAGTATACGTACGGTAAAAGGCACCATTTAGTGTGCAACATAAATAAAGAATAATAGACAGGATGTAAGAATGATACATATTTAAGAAAATTCTAGGTGGAAGCAAAAGAAAGAATGATAATTAGAAGTAAAATTAAATTCGTTACAAATTGAAAAGTACGTAATTACTGTGCATATGGTGCTCCTGTTTTGACTCCAGAGACATAAAAGGTAACGTTGCACGCCAAATCCGAAGATAATAAAGGTGAAGAATGCGTTCTCTTTCATCTCAACCTACATTTACAAAAAAAGAGTTTGCTTTTTTCAGAAGCGCTAATCGTGTTACCATCAAGCCTTTTTCGCTTGTTGATAAACGGTTAGTTTTGATATTGTTGCTTTTGCATCCCCATTTAATAAGCATCTGTGGATACCCAGTTAGCAAGAACAGTATCAACAATAAGGCAATAACCAAGCGCATGTGCACACCGAATGGTCGAGGCATGTTGCTCGCCATGATGACAACAAGTGACGACGCTACCGGTAAATGATACCACTCCTCTCTTCTGCTAGAAAGCCCGCTCGGGATATTTCCGAAGAGGCGGTGCAAATAAATCAAGCAAGAGATTGTAACTAACTGGGGATGCAAGCTGTAAGCTCAGGATTGAAGGGTCTGGCTCACCTGCGAGCATCCCAATAAATGTTGTTAAATGGGAACCTCTTTACTCTCAGTATTCTTACTACATGCAAAAATACAAAAAGATAACAAAGGCTGGAACGCACCAGGCGAGCCGGTGCGATCATGCGTTTTTGCATCAAAACTAAA